TCGAGGTTCTTCCTGAACCGACGACGGGTCAGGCAAAATCATTTCAAAAAGTCCTTAACGAGAGGAAAACAAAGCCTACATACGCCTAAGGGCAAAAGCGTAAGAGCCATCATCGCCAGCCAAACGAGCCTCAGGGCCACACACTAAACGGTCGCAACGACCAAAAGCGTAAGAGCCACTGTCGCCAGCTTAAAATTTTTGAAAGCTTGAGGGTCAAAGCGAGCTCGAGTCGTAACCCGATTCGGAGACCGGATCCAAAATAGTTAACTATACATGCCTAAGGGCAAGATTGTAAAAGCCATCACCGCCAGCTTCATGAGCCTCAGGGCCACATACATAAAAGGTTGCTTCGACCCAAGGCATAAGAGCCATTGTCGCTAGGGCTGGGCATAATTTGGTAAATACCGAATTACCGTACAGAAACCGAAAATTTTGGTATTTGGTATACGGTATTTTGGTATTTGGTATGGTATTTGGTTTAAGTTTAAAAAAAAATTGGTATTAGGTATGGTATTTGGTATTTTAAACTAAAATACCGAAATATCGATACCATACCGAAATATATATTATATTACACAAAACACATATTATCAATTATAACATAAATATAAAAAATCTAAAATTTTACTTTCCTTTATTCTCAAAGTTCATCAATTAACTTTAAACAAGTAACAAGACATTTCTAATGATCAAATATTCTTTTATAACAATTTTCTCTATTTGGGTCAATATTTGCTAGTTTTGGACAAAAGTTTTTTAACAAACATTTTCAGTTTTGTATTTTTGAGTACTTTAATTAAGAATATTAGAGTGTATGACTCTATGCACTAGTTAGTATTCAAACCGAATAAACCGAAGTTACCGAACCGAATAAACCGAAACCGAAAGAAGAAAAACCGAACCATACCGAATTTAATTAGGTACGGTATTGGTATAGTATTTTAAGAAACCGAATACCGAAAATACCGAATCGAAATGTCTAAATACTGTATCGTACCAACCGATGAACAACCCTAATTGTTGCCAGCCCATGCAAATGTAAAACTTGAGGGTCGATTGAGCTCGAGTCGAAGCCCGACTCGGAGATTGAACCCAAAACAGTTGAGCAAAAACATAAGAGCTCTAATGGCAGTTTGCATTAAAGGTCGCATCGACCAGGCGCGTGAAAGCCTCGAGCTTGCCTAACGAGCCCTAGGGCCATATCACAGATCTAAGGTTTCTTGCCAATTCTTGCTGAATTCCGGGCAAAAAAGGGGAATAAGGGAAACAAAGCTGCAGGATTCATTTTTATACATATACCAGTAAGAAAGTACTATATACAAACGGGAAGATCAACAAGAAAATCGACAGGAAAATCAACAAAGATCCTAATTTATTGCCAAAATCGCATCCACAATGGCTCTCCAAGGGTTGCACCTTGGCAACTACAAGTCCTCCGACGACCCCTTCTCAACGACATCTTCTCTCCCTGGTGATCCACCCTCATTTTTAGCACCGCCTAGCTGCCATCCGACGCACCCCCAACGGTCTGCTCTCGGGAAACCGGCCAGGCACGATCCGCAGCTCGAGGTAAAATCGGGCTAAGCCCCTCAAACGCCTTCCCAACGCAAGAATCTGCAACAACAGCTCCCCCCGTGCGAGGATACAAGCGCCTCGGCCTCGGCTTTGATCCGAAACAATGCAGCCACCAGTTCGGAAGGGAGACCCTTGTATTTGTCACTATCCTCCTTCGCATCCTGGAGCTGACGCTCGATCAAGGTTACCTTCCCCTGGAGGGTGTCCCTCTCGGAAGCCATTTCGTTTACGTACCGACTAAGGTCGGAAATTTCAGCATCTCTGGCCTGAAGCTCCCCTCTCAGCAGGGCGTTCTCCTTCTCAAACTGCGCAAACTAGGTCCGAGAAGTTAAAAGCAGTAGAATCTCACAAGGATCTGAATAATAGTAAAAACGGGGGATGAGTAACCTGCTCGGTAAGATAGGCTTTCTCACGCTTGCGGCGGCTCACCTCATCCTGATACTGGGTGAAAGCCTGGTTATAAAGCACTTTAGCCTGAAGCCACGTAAAAAGACAAATTAGAAAAACGAAGACCGGAACAGCCCAGGGCGGCGGACAAGGTTAGCAAAAATTGCCCGCTCGCAGAGTCTGCCCATCTCACCGAAAATAAATGAAGCATCAACCTCGGGACCTCCCTCGAGAATGGTCGGCGACCTTTCGAGTGCATCTCCGCCTTTGACTGGTGCCCCTGCTTCAGAAGGCTCTTCACGTGGGGCGTCTTGCACTCCGTGAGACGGTAGGATCTCTCCCTGAGGAGAATCAACAACAACCAAAGGGTTAACAAGATCAGTCAAAACCTCCGTCCCTTGTTCACCCTGGACCCCAGATTCAGGCCCCTCCGAACTGCCCACCAAGGGCGTCCCAACTCGGGAAGAATTCCGGCCACCCGCCAACTCGGGGGTAGTGCTTGATACTCCATCCATTGCTTCGCCACCGCAAAGCTGGGCCACAACGGCATCAGACTCCGGTCCGGGAGCATCCATCCCTACGGCCCCGGGGTCGGCCGAGTCTATACGCTCTTCGGGGGCCGTTGAGAAGCTGCGTTCTCCCTCACCTTCAGCTCGAGGGTTTCCCACTATCTCGGAGGTCAGAACTGTCGGATCAACCTTGGAATCTTCCGCCTTAACCCTCTTGAGCTCCGGAGGCCCAACCGGCAGACTCCCCTACCTTTTCTTCTTCTCGACAAGCACCAGGACGTCCCCTCTGACGGGTGGTGCCTCCTTCGTCAAAGGGATTTCCCCTATACCTACATGAATGCAGAGGTTAAATACAAAGGATGAAGAACGCTACTAATAGCGATCTACGTCAAAGTATGCGGTTGCAACAAGGCTCGGGACTCACCATGGTCTTTGGCTTCCCACCGAGCTCGGGATAAATCTCGCCACACTCGTTCGGTATATGGGCAAATTGAGTATAAGCGGTCGACCCAACTCTGGAGATCCGACACCGCACCAGGGTAGATCGCTACGGCTAAAAAAAAGCAAGAAAAGCAGAGTTAGATACTTGAAAATATCGCCAAAACGAAGCAAAAGAAGACCCGACAACACGTTTACTTACGTTCCACTTCTTAGGGAACGACATCTTTTCCACTGGAATCAGGTCAGACGTCCTCACTCGGACGAATCGGCTTACCCATCCCTCGTCCCCGAGCTCCTCGGTGCAGGCAAAAAGGGATCTCGGGGCCCGGCAACGAAGCTTGATTAAGCCCGCACGGAGAAGACGGGGACTATACATCCGGATCAGATGCTTGAGGGTGAAGGGCATCTCCTCTATCATGTTCGATTAATACCTGATCATATAAATCACACGCCAGAACAAAGGATGAATTTGGCCCAGAGTCACTTGGTAACTCGGGCAGAAGTCGAGAATCACGGGATCGATCGGGGGCGAGGGTGGCCCCACGGTAAATGGGTAGGTGTATACACTCAGAAAGCCGGCTTTATGAGCCGTAATATCTTCCTCCCGAGCAGGAATCTCCACAAGCACGGTATCCCAGCGACAGTCAACCCTCACTCTCCCGACGTCCGTTATCGAGCTGATATACCGAGTTACAGGCTCACGACGCCCTGGCTTCGCGGAAGGTCTCTTGACCTTGAAATCGGAGGTCATCGCAAAGGATCCTGGGACGCATTCCTCAGCACAAGGAGGAGTAGCCACTTCGCCTTGAGAGAAAAGCGAAGAAGACGAACCCGCGACCTCCTTGGAAGCAGAAGTGGAAATTTTCGCCATCCTTGGAAGATTCTGAAGGAAGAAAAAGAATTGCGTTCCTGAAAGAGAACAAGAGCAAAGGAAGAACGAACCTTATTAGGGGTTTTGGGCACGAGATGGGGTATAGAAAGAAAGAAGGGGAGTATTTATAAAAGCGCCATGTGCACATTGAAGGAATCCAAAAGGCAGCCAACCGCCGCAGTCAATGCGGAGACCTGCAGGAACATCGTGCGTGTTGCACCTTGGCGCCTCGTAGCCGTCGCCGATTGCAAGAACATCGAAGGAAGCAGAAATTCAGGTTTGTTTCTTACCGCTTTCACTCTAAGAAACGCGGAGACTATCTGTATGCGGTAAATCCGGGGGCCGATTTCCCCGTCATTGGGTCGTCTCGTGGTCATGCTTCTCGAGGCTCGAAGCCAAGGTCGAGACCTACCCTCGGGGGTCGTCAGGTACCGGCTCCGGAGGGCATTGCGTACTAACAGCTATAACATGCCGGAGGGGAATTTCCAAGGCACACGGCTAAATCTGCCAAAACTGACCTATCCGGGGCTTGTCTCAAGGTGTCACATTCAGCCGTCCCGTCTCCATGCCTTTACGGTTAATGCATTTTGTACTATAACGGGGTCCCCATCACTTTGTAAAGCCGGTTGTTGCAACTCCAACTATTCTACACAAGATCAATAATCTCTCTCTCTTTTCTCTCTAACTTACTCGCTCGAGGCTACTTCTTCTTCATTTATTGCTTGATATTGGCCATAAAAGAGCCTTCTTTAATTCTATCCTAACTGTTATTCCCTTCCCGGTTATCCCCGATAGCTCGAGCTCGAGCCCAGGCATCGACCTCGAAGCCTTTCATCGATCAGTCTGAAGGCCCGGGTAGCAAGCCCCTCGGTTTGATTATTGCCCCGTTTTAGCTTGTATTTCGTCGTTAAACTCCACATATCTAGCATCCACTCCTCTAACAACTAGCATAAAAATAGATCACGTATTTTTAGAATCCCATTTACAAATTTAATTGCTATTACTATTTTTACGGTAAACACATGTTTACTGAAATAATAATGGTGTCTCCACATTACATGGTATGGTGTTTTGCTTCAGTTGTCCGTGTCATGTAAATCATGGTTCTTTTCCTGTATTTGGACAAAGTTGCTACCGCTGTTGTCAATCATGTGTAGATGTTGCATTGCGACTGGCAAAGATCTAGAAATTGACTCTGGCTTATTTGGTGAAAACAGGTGCAAGCAGTGCTCTTGCTATTGGGGGGATGTGACATTCCTACTGCTGTGCCCACTGTTGAAGTTCCTTTCGACAACAAGGTATTCTAAACTAATACTATAACTTGCACTATAGTTCGGCGATACTTTTGGATGACCAGTATAATGTTTTAGGTTGAGGATTTTCCAAAGCAAGTTAATCTTTCAAGAAGATTTGCCTCCTTGGTTAGATTCCGAGAGAAGCGAAAGGAGAGATGTTTTGACAAGAAAATTAGATATAGTGTCAGGAAGGAGGTTGCTCAAAGGTAAAATGATATGCCTTTTACTATTTTGGTTTTCTTTGAGTTTTTAACCTGGCAATGATATTTAAAAGGGCAGTTCAGTTCGGTGCACAAAGTATCCCGCATTCACGCAGGGTCCGCGGAGGGGTTGCCCCCAAGGAGGTGTGATGTAGATAACCTACCCTGATGCAAGCATCCATGGATCGAACCCGTGACCTATAGGTCACACGGAAATAACTTGACCATTGCTCCAAGGCTCCCCTTCCCGGCAATGATATTTGATGATGTGAAATTGGTAATGATAAAAATAATAAATATAAGATGATATTGGTTTGTCAATCATGAAGAACGGGAATTGCTGTTTGCACGCTTTCTTTTGATGTTCTTTTCAAACACTCTTTCATGTCCAAATGTTAGTAACAACATGGTATCAATGCCATTTACAGATGCTGTTTTTCCAATTTAATATGATGTCTGTTTGTCCTCAAATCTTCCTCGTCTTTGGTTTTCTAGACTACTTCTGTGACAGAATTCATATAGTAATAATGTATTTACAAGATCAGTTCTTAGGTTGATATGCAATCAGCCAAATGCTCGTCTCTTCGCTTAAGTTTTGGATTAGGGTCCTGTCTGTGTTGTTGGTTTCTCACAAAGATTTTGCATATATTGGAAGCCATAGTATTCATCAAAACTGAAAATGAAAAGGACAATAATTTTGTTCAAAACTGGTTAACACGTCTTTATGAGAGAAGACACATGGATTTTGGTCAATTTGCTTTGGAAAAGTATAGCTTAAAAGAATTTGTCCCTGAAAGTGTCTGTTTACTTGAAAACCAGAGTCTGATTTCTGTTTCATCATATCCTGAAAGACTGAAACACAGTGGCTTTTCTTCTCATC